GCAACAATTTAAAGTTCAGGGTTCGAATACCGGTCTAGCCCCACTGAACTCTACACAAGATAGCTCAGTCAGGAAGAGTGATAGAGCAACAATTTAAAGTTCAGGGTTCGAATACCGGTCTAGCCCCACTGAACTCTACACAAGATAGCTCAGTCAGGAAGAGTGATAGGGCAACAATTTAAAGTTCAGGGTTCGAATACCGGTCTAGCCCCACTGAACTCTACACTCAGGACACTGGTGTTGATTATATTTTGTTCATTTAATAATAATAATAATTTGAGGTTTTTATACACCGCTTTATCTTACCTAGGTCACAGGTTGTCTTAAATCGGTTCACAAATTATTATCCGTGGTTATAGGGCCTTTACAACATACAGCCGGTGCTGCTATTTCAGCGCTCGCAGCTATTATTCAACAATTCTAGCACTGCCCAACCACGTACTCATTTACAGCTGAGTAGACTGGAATAAGTGGAATAAAGTATCTTGTTCAAGAATACAACATAGTGCCGTGTCGTGACTCGAACCCGCAACCCTTCGGTCACGACCCGGCATCCTACCACTAGGCTACTGCACCTCCTAAGCTTTCGATCATCTCTACTTTTTTATAAAGTCCCACAGGATTTGGTTTTCCTATCAGAAATGATATATTAAAGTTATAATCCAGTGTAGTTACATTTTTGACAGGACCAGGTGAGCTAAACGCCATTGAATTCAGAAAAGTGGCGAATTCATGTTGTTGATTTTTTTAGTTTAAGTATACAGTGTTTTATTACAACACTATGTTACCATACAGGTGTTGTGACCCGATACAAATTTACAACCCAGATTTACCTCGGTCTTTTATATGACAGCAATACACTGGCCCAAAATACCCCCCCCCCCCCCCCCCCCAAGATAAAACCACATTACTGTAAAAGGATTCCTCAATCAAAACTCAATGTAGTGATCATAGGATTTTTACAAATCTTTTCCACTTCAAAGTTTTGACTTAAATGTGTCTATAATTGATCCATAGATATTTGTCAACAAACACGAGTGGGTCAACAGACAACCCTTCACAGCCATTACATCAGACAAGAAACCTCTTCTGTTGCTTTGTACCGCAATAAATTCCCTACATGTGCATTATCTTTAAAATAAAATCGCTGAGTTATAATAGCGATTTTAGAGTCGACTAGTATCAAGAAAGCTTATGAAGTTTTTGGTAGAAAATGTGTTGGTTACATACATCAGGTAAAATTCCCCCTTGAAAAAATCGTCTGCCCTTTACAATTACACCGATTTAAAACTATGTATTGATATTAGAAATAGATCATTTATACTACACAGTGTATTAGGAATTGTACTGTGTATAATAATCTTTTGTTATGAAGTTATATTTATAACAGATTGTTTGGCCTCCATCATAAACAAGTTGAGCTGTAAGCCAGCTTCTCCATTTTAATGTTCAATATTTCGAAATTAGTAATTTGAATTCATAAATATTGCATCTGCTAAAGCTTTGCAATCAATGAATCAAATTTCCAGTATCAAGAGGCTTATCAGCTGAATGACATTGTATCTAATTTGTCTATGACGAGAACTCCAATCTTCAATTCAATTTTTCTGTTACTTGATTGCCAGTCTCCAATTTAATTCAGACCATTTAATTTTATGGAAATGCTCTATACAACTTGAAATACAACATATAGTTAGTGAAAAGGTTTGTGTGTGACTCTGGTATGTACCAATGGTAAAAGCCGGTATGATTTATTGTGGACTGACCACCACAGCTGCCTTGACCAGTGTGGTCCTGTGTCCAGTGTCAGTTTTACAATTATTTATCTATGTATACCTCATCACAGTGTCCACTATATAAATGTTTATTTGTCATGGTCATGATCCCCAGCTGACTAAGGCAGCTGACCAAGGCGGTCTGCGTCCTCATTACCTAGTGCTGGTCATTAGGAATGACCATGTCTCATTACCACCACCACCCCTCAGGCCACTGACCAAGTGTCTTCAGCCACCATGGACAACCAAAAATTAACGGCTCTGGCCACTGACATCTTGTTTATTTGACCAGCAGCAAATGTCTGTTGACCCTTACAAACAGCTGTCCATCTTGTGATGCTGTGGCCGGAAAAGCCACTGGACACAGTATCAAACTTTTCACAATCATGAAATATGTTTTTACATCAACATTACACTGATAAGATTTGTCCAGTACCAGTGTTACAAGTCCCATTATCTACGGCCTTTGGCTGTAGACCCCAGCAGATTGACCGATCTATACCCTTCCAATCCATTACCAGTATCATATCTGATGTTTGAAAATCAAATTCCAAACAAGCCACCTGATAGGTCCTTCAGGAACCAATCATATTTGAATGTTTGAATATAAACTTGTATATGGAAGGAATGACCTGGTTCTTTATCTTATCTGTTATCAATGTCCAGCCATATCTACCTGATGGACATAGAATACTGATTGACTGTGATGTCAGGGTCGTAATTGGATTACAAATAGGGCTAGGGTCCTGCCACTCACTGACCAGTAGAAGGGGCTTGTCACAAGACTGGTTAATCCTCAGCTCTCCCACTGTTATGTAGCTTAGAATGGTCAAGCTTAGAGAAGTTTAGGGAGCTAGATTTACGCAATGGTCATAACAATTATCCTCTTACCTAAGGCACTGTATAGTGACCAGCACATCATGTCAGGGGAGACATTTCAAGTGGGCTCCAGCTGTGCTGGTCAGCTTACCCTCATAATGCCCAGTGGTCAGAGCAAGTGGTCAGCTATACTGACACTGGCAGTGACAAGATTTGATGTCATCCACACCTCTGCTGACCAGTGGTCAAAAATTGGCAGGCAGCAGTTAGATAACATTTGTGAGTAATTATACTGACCACCCACACTTCTCAGCACTCCATGTCAGACAGGATCTGAAATAAAACAAAATATATTTATAGAGAAAAGTAATTGTGCATGAAAACAGTTCAGTTCATCACCTACAGTGCAGCAGCAGGTTTGTCTTCAGCTGTATTGCATTCATTTGCGTTAACCTTTCAATCTCATTTGCTATGCATTTAATCTTTTTTAAACCCTGAGCAGTTCGATCATTCTATGGATCTATGTGCATGTATCAAGGTCTTGCCCCCACCTCCTATCCTACATTTAAAAAAAGAATATCTGTAGAAATATGAGTTATATTTATTGTTATCTGGTAACTGAGGTTGATCACTATAAGCCCAATGATTGCATTTTTTGTTCTCAATTTTAATCATTTTAAAAATCTCTAATTTTCTGTTAATGCGTCATTAAGCTGATATGGTCTGACATAACAGGATCTAGATTTACAAGTGGGAAACAAGATAAAAAAATCATATCTAGATACCATTTGCGAAATTGAGACTGAATTATAAAAAAAATGCAAAACCAAAAAAGATGACAATTTCATTTTTTTTTAATATCTAGTTATCAAATGCAAAATTGAGACCACAATTTCCTTTTTTTCAGTTATGCAAAATAAAAAAGATGACAATTTTGTTTATTTTGTTGAAAAGATGGTGACACTATTTTTTGTTTTTTGTTCCTGAACATGTATGAAAACTTGTGTGATACCCTACATATTTGTGGCTAGGAGATAATCATTATCGGGAGCTGGGACATTGTCGGCGGGTGTCTGCATGCAGATGCCTGATAGTCAGTCTCTATAGAATAAAAAGGGTTTCCATGGAATCCGAGCCTTCAGTTTCCATGGAATCCGTGGCGTTACCTTGGAATCAGGGGCTGTTAGGGAAAGTGTTCCTACTGAATGAGAAGGTGACCCTAGGACTGACCCCCACATTGATATGCAGAATGTGCCAGATAAGAAAACATTTACGGGAAGCTGTTAACCCCGGGTTGAGTGCCAACATTGAATTACAAGGACAGGGACACTGACAGGCCCCTAATCCCAACTACACATCCATCAACTCCCATTTTAATCCGAAGCTCCCTAGGGAGTCGTCAGGAATAATCATAACAGCGGCAGCCCCCACTCTAGCCCTGACCAGCCACAGCCTGAGGAACTACAGACAGGAATCAATCTCACAGGCTCATTCCGACTAATTACAACACAGCTGTAAGTCAGCGAGAAACCAACCCGAGATTATATCTCAAAACCTTTAATTGTAGAAACTATTCAACTGATTATGACATTTCCATAGTAACTATTGTTCAACTGACTAGCCAATTTCCTTACATTCTCTCTAACCATGATTAAGTTTCCCTGACTTATGAAAAAGATAATCATTATCTTTCAAATAACAAATTTGACTCCAACAATGAGTCACACTAGACCCGAGTATCCCTCATCTGCGACAGTTATTCACCATAGTGTCACATGCCTTTATTGGCAGAAATTGTCGTGATATGCAAATGAGCCATTATCATGGAGAAAACCTATAAGGGGCGAGGAAATAAAGTGTGATTTATCAATAGCTCGCTGCCTGGCTGCTGATGATAATTTTCAACATAGATTAATGTATTGGATGAATGCATATCTTGTCAATTTTTATTAAAACTGCTCCGTTTGAGTTTTTACGACTCAGCAGCTGTAACAATGCACGCTAGTTCCTGCTTCTGTCCCTAATCACAGAGACATCAGAGTCGCGCATAAATAGCCACTTATTAAAACGTTCCAGTGACACGGACATCATTCTTCCCACTATATGACACATACAGAAATAGCTGATAAAAACTCCTTTTGATCCAATAATTTTCGAACTTTTTAATATAAGGTGATGCAGGCAAGTCTGTCATATATCAAAAGGATGGTGTTTCTATTTCAATATTACAGTTGTAACTGTCGCTCCATATGGCAACTGTGATTTTTATGATTTAAATTAATCGTAGATATTTTTGATGTGGGGCTGAGTTTATCATAGGAGATCAATGTTATTTACTCATGTTGATTACACAACAGATGTTTGGAAACAAATTATCACATATTATAATTTTTTGGCAAGTTTAAAATCTGAAATTGAATTTATCGAGCCTCTAATATTCTTGCATTACTATCATTAAACGAAGTATAGAAAACAAAAACATTTTGATGTGCTTCATTGCCAAAAGGCATGACCATCATTGTGCAAGAACACCAGTCTTTTTACATTCATGGCAAATCAATTATTTTATTATCTTGCTGACCACAGCCTTGACCAGTGAACAATTACTAGGGATGCATCATGAACTGATAAAAGCTGCATGTTATTTGCATATCTGTAGCATTAGATCTAATAAACATGGATTTTCACAGTCCTAAGTGATGACAGGCCTGATGAAGATAGATAAGTTTAACTGGGGAAATGACAGCCACTGTAACCAGGGGACAAACAGCCAGACTCTGTAACCAGGAGACAAACAGCCAGACTATGTAACCAGGGGACAAACAGTCGGCCTCTGTGACCAGGAGTCATACAGTCAGCCTCTGTAACCAGGAGACAAACAGCCAGACTCTGTAACCAGGAGACAAACAGTCAGCCTCTGTAACCAGGATACAAACAGTCAGCCTCTGTAACCAGGAGACATACAGTCAGCCTCTGTAACCAGGAGACGTACAGTCAGCCTCTGTAACCAGGAGACATACAGCCAGCCTCTGTAACCAGGAGACATACAGTCAGCCTCTGTATACAGGGAACATATAGTCAGCCTCTGTATCCAGGGAACATATAGCCAGCCACTGTAACTAGGTTGAAACAGCCACTGTATCCAGGGAAAATGGTTATCTCCTTTGACCATGATGAAACAGTCACTGTCAACACACTAACTTGTATGTTAAATCCAGCAACTAAAGAGAAAGCAATCAAACAAATACAACAGCACTATTACAAAAGGTCAGGCCAAGAAAAGGGAAGCAAGCCAGGTTATATCTAATATACCAGTGGTATTATTATAGGTCTGATCAAGTCAATGGGAATCAATCCAGACCCGGCAATACTACAGGCTGGTCAGATCAATGGCTTTATTCTGTAGCTAAATTGCTGGTAACCATGTAACATAAGAAATCTGTCTCTCATAGCACCATGAGATCCATCTTATCTGATCCGTCTTCTAATGTGGCATGAAGTGAAACTTGGCCAGCTCACACCTGCCTATAGATTCTGCCTTGTGTTATCACAAAAAAATCAATTCTCAAAATTAGATGCACCTCTTTCTAAATGAAGCCGCAGCTAATTTTTTCTTAATTTTTTTTTTTTCAAATGGAAGGAAAACCCACGGCTTTTATCGAAATGACCGAAACATTCTTTTTCCAAACATTGCTGCCGTCAGCAAAAATTAAAACACAGCTCATACATACACATCTTTGATACGGAATATGTAGATGGACTTATGCTCTTTATCAGAAAGTGGGCCGAGACAGGAGAGAACAGAATTAGGGGCTGTAAACTCTGCCAGGAATACTGTTTGGTAAGAAAGATTGAGGGGTGGTGAAGCACAGGGCTCAGTGTCATCCTCCCCGTGTCAGGGAGGGACCATAACAAGACACCCACCCAACTCTATTACTGTCCTTATCTGTGTGTTACTGACAAGTTCAGCTTCAGGTCGGTTTAAAATCTACATGTAAGGAGTGGCCACTCTTATCCCCTGTCTGTCCCTGAATCAACCCACTGCTTGTCAAAGCTTTGCCAGCAGATAACAAAAAGCTAACGCCCCTGATGTCCAGGGAAAATAACATGGAAATCCCAAAATCTGATGTTAGGTACTGATGGTGGAGGCCTATCATTACTAAAAATGTATTCTAAATGGAAAAATGCAACGGAAACAAAATGATACACTTTGGTCAACATACCTAGCAAGGGTGACACACATCAAAGTGACCTTCCTGTGACCTTGAAAATTACCTAATCAGGTTATTGGAGTAGTTGATTAAGTGTTGAGATTGTGGAAATTGGACCATCTGTGGAGGCTGGAGTGACCAAAGTGTGGGCGATAGCACAAAGTATTGTCAACTTAACAACCTGTTTCTGAGGGTACAAATGCAACATGTTATTATCCATTAAGCTGACAGATCACACAGATATAGGATCGAACTTTACGATGTTGACTATCAAATAGTTGAAAATTCTAAGAATAGGAAATACAATGTTTAAACTTTTAATTAGTTTGACATGAAGACTATGCATGGAGTATGAGGCACAGAAACCAGATCAGTTGGCAGCTTACAATCGGTGATTATAAAAGTATGTGGGATTGTGGACTTAACTAGTCAAAATCAGATCTCAGTATGACATCATACCTTACACAAGAGGCCAAACGGGCCTGTATCGCCCACCTGTCATTAATCTCACACTTGTAACCTAGGAAGTTGACTAAAATAGAAACAGGGTAGATGTGAAGGTGACGAGTGGATGTGAATGTGACGAGTTGATGTGAAGGTGACGAGTTGATGTGAAGGTGACGAGTAGATGTGAAGGTGACGAGTTGATGTGAAGGTGACGAGTAGATGTGAAGGTGACGAGTTGATGTGAAGGTGACGAGTGGATGTGAAGGTGACGAGTGGATGTGAAGGTGACGAGTGGATGTGAAGGTGACGAGTGGATGTGAAGGTGACGAGTTGATGTGAAGGTGACGAGTGGATGTGAAGGTGACGAGTTGATGTGAAGGTGACGAGTGGATGTGAAGGTGACGAGTGGATGTGAAGGTGACGAGTGGATGTGAAGGTGACGAGTGGATGTGAAGGTGACGAGTGGATGTGAAGGTGACGAGTGGATGTGAAGGTGACGAGTGGATGCAATGTTTCCTAAGTGGATGTAGTTCAACAAATGCTAGCAAATTATTTCATTTGAAATATTTCATCATGTCTAAAGCCAGATAGATGCCCATACCAGTATCACTTTTAATATGACCGACATTCTGAACAGCAGTGCTCCCTTTGTTAATCCTTTTGAGATGACCCCTCTAAGCAATGCAGTAGTGTATTTTTGTTTGGTGTGCAGAAGTCAGTTTATCAATGTAATGAATGTAGCCATCTATTTGTAGAGCGATAAGGTGGTTTAACTTGTAATTAATGCAGCCTGTGTATTTGTAAGGATGGTCGGGGTTATCTGTTATGTCACACACCCTGTGTACAACATAACACAATATTTCCCTCCCCTCTCTTCCCCTCTTCTCACCTCAACCAAGCCTCATCACCACTCCTAATCACTCGACTAATTACAAACTCACCTCTCAAACAATCGGTTAATTACAAAACCCACCTTTGCAACACTACACTAATCATCGTCTCTCACAGGTAAATTGCCCTGATTTGCAGCATTTCATCTCTCGTGATTGCAGAGGATGAAAGGCATACTGTTTTTTTTAACAATTGACCCAAAATGATTAGATTTGTTGATGCGACTTTGAGAAGGTTTCTGTCAGCTGATGGCGCTGTCTTCACGTTTAAACTCATTATGATCAATGGGCAAATATTATGAATCTAGGCATCATACATGAAAGTCCGGAATCAAGGCCATGCTCTTATTTGAAACAAATGATAGCAGTACCCCACAGCAAGTTCAGAAGCTATAAATATATGTGACCTGTGAATGTGGTCAAGGTTATTTATTTGAAAAAAAAATAAAAAAATTATAGGCATAAATCCTGTGAACATGCTACACTTCAATCAAATAAATAAGCTGCAGCAAAGATTAAATACCTTGGAGCAGTAATGACAGTGAGGAAATGAACTTATTTGTTTCTCCATGCCCACCAATCTAATATATGGTTATAGGGTAGGGATCTCAACTCCTAATACCAAATGGTGAGGAGGGAATTCAGATTGAATCCTAATAGCATGAAAGTATAGTCATCTCATCACGGCCACTAATTGTATATTTGGTTATGTGGTAGTGATCTGAACTGGCTCTATGTTATGGCCCAAAAAGCAAGTCCCCAGGGGTGAAACTGGATCCCTGACCCAATCCTGGTAGCATGAATGGTTATAGGGAGGGGATATAAAACATTTCCATGCTATGACCTAAGCAATAGGTCAAGGCCATTTTTACATGCAGACTTTGTCAGGCTCATTCCCAGGAATATCAATGTCAACATTAAGACTTGAGACCTTTCATTTCTTCTTTTTCAGGAGATGTTTGAAGTTTTTGACATATTTGACCTGTGACTTTGAAAGTTGGTAGAGGTCATTTTTGCTCAAACTCTTAATGAGACTCTTTCGAAGAAAACCATCAGCTTTATATTCCGATTTCAGGTTCTATTCTTCAGAAGAAATCATTTGAAGTTTTTGACATATTTGACCTTGGAAGTAGGCCAAGGCCACTTTTGTACTTAAACTTCGTTGGGCTCTATCCAAGGAACAAACCAACCACATATCATTATTCAAGGCCTTATGGTTCTTCAGAAGAAGTTGTTTGAAGTTTTTGACATATTTGACCACTGTCACCTTGAAAACAGGTCAAGGTATTTTTTGTTCGCAACCTTTGTTGGGCTCCATCAAGGGAACCTACCAGCCAAATATCATGACTCGATTCCTATCAACTCTTTAGAAGTTGTTTGAAGTTTTTGACATATTTGACCCGTCACCTTGAAACTTGTTAAAGGTCTTTTTCGTTCCAAAAGTTTGTTGGACTCCATCCAAAGAAGCAACCAGTCTAATAACATTGTTCTAGGCCTTTCAAATCTTCAGAAAAAGTTGTTAGAAATGTTTGACATATTTGACCTCTGCTACCTTAAAATTAGGTCAAGGTCATTTTAGGTAGCAAACTTTGTTTGGCTTCATCCAAGGAATCTTCCAGCCAAATATCTTGACTCTTAAGTCTTTTTGTTCTTAAGAAGAAGTCGTTTAAAGGACAAGTTAATGGCAGACAGAAAGACGACAGATGCTGTGCCACATCATAAGCTCTGTAGGAGATATATAGGAGATAAAGGACAAGTTGATGGTGGGCAGACGGACAATGCCTAGTAGTTAAGCTCACAGGCACTTGGTACTAAGCGAGTTAAAAGAGTTACTAGTAGTACACGAAATAGGATTATTGTGCTAAGGATGTATGTTGTATATGTGTCACACACACATGACCATCAGCACACACTTAACCAACTACAGATGTCCGTCTACTTGTTATACATACTTCAGCAGATTGTGTCAGTAGGTGAGGAGGTGAAATCTCTCACAAATCTAGTTCACTACAGAGTCACGTGCACCGAGATACCAACGACCTCTGTGAAATAAGTTTAAAATAACTTTATTTCTTTTACAACAATTATGAAACAAGTTTCTACAACTTATATTCATCACTCTTGTTGGCCCTAATGTTAGCGCGCAGGGGTCTTTATGTGGGAGGAAACTGGAGTACCCGGAGAAAACCCACGTGGTCGGGCAGGTTACTCCATACCTTTTCACGTCTGATCGGGGAATCGAACCCCGGTCGCCTTGGTGAAAGGCAAGTGCGCTATCCACTGCGCCACCCGACCACATAAGTGTGGAATAAGTTCATAAATACTTCCACAAAAGTTACCATTTTGTATAATTTTGTTTGGAAAAATGTCTATTAGTCTAGGGAAAGGTTTGATCGCCCACCAAGAGGTCCAAGTATGGCTGCCGTTTGGGCAGTAGTCACTTACTGACCTGTAACAACATACCTGTATAACAAGAGGATCAGGGGGCCTGTATCGCTCAACTGGATATCTAAGCAATCATGGCAAAATATTCTCAAAATAAGATCCCAGGGACAGGGCAGGACCCAAAGGCCAATCCTAGTAACATATCTGTGTAAGATTTTTCATGCCCAGCAATTGTATGTATGGTTAAGGGGTGGGGATCTCAACTGTTTCCAAGTTGTGACTCAAAAACTAGATCCCTAAGGTTGTGGCCAGACCCTAGGATCAATTTTAATATCATGACTGCATTCGTCTCTTTACGCCAAGCAATTGTATGTGGTTTTGTAGTGGGGATCTCAACCGTTTCAAAGTGATGACCCAGGGACTTAAATTCGTCTCCAAGGGTGGGGCCAGACCCCAGAGCCATCCTGGAAGCATATGTGCATTCATCTCTTTATACTCAGCAATTGTATATATGGTTATATGGTGGGTGGGGATCTCAACCATTTTCAAGTAATAAACTATTTTGACCCCACCCTTTAACCGGGGGGAGGGGCACTTTTGTACAGTTGTTAATCCCCACCACCTATGGATACTTTCTAACAAAATAAAGTTGATATCCATTGCTTAGTTCCAGAGAAGAAGTTGCTTAAAGCAATATAAAGCCAAATTACACTTTTTGGCCCGCCCCTTAGCCCCCCTGGGGTGTCAACCCCCACCATTTGTACAATTTTGTATACCCACCACCTAGGGATGCTTCCAGTCAAATATACTTGATATTCATCAACTGGTGCTGTAAGTAAAAGCCTTCCTGTCCCCATACATATCTTTGTGTGCCCTCACTAAAATCTGTCATTGCACAGAATATTTGATAAGACATATCGGTGAAAAGACCTACCACCTTTTGAAGAAATTGATTGAAAACTTATAAGCAACAAATTGATTAAGTTAAGGATGCAATGTTTCCCGTACAAAAATAGCATTGACTATAGAATTGGTGAACAGACTAGATGTCACTGGAGTTTTGTCTATGGACAAACAGACAGAAAGACGACAAGCTGATTGCCCGTAAAATGTATCGCCCTAATTACGATGTGCGAGTACAGTAACCATGGGCCCTACTGATGTACTTTACGCAATCAAATCAAAAGACCTTTTAATGAAGCAGTATATTGCGTACCACATTTCATGATTTTAAAGCCAATCGTGGATTTAATAAATACTCCAAATCAGACAATGCTGATAAGCATGCAGAGAACTATAAAATAAGTCAATTAACACATGTTATTGTGAGACGAGCACCCTGAAATTAGTTCAGAGCCGACATCTCAAACATGACTACATAATGACTAGGAAGTCTGGTCAGTTTAATGACAGACTTTATGCTTACAACCTATCAACATACACTCACGTTTGTAAAGAATCGCACAGAACCCCAGAATAAAGTCTGTATACAACAAGAGGCCCATGGGCCTTAACGGTCACCCGAGTTCCGATATATATTTATACAGAGAGTTGATTTTTGTTTTTAAATCATGAACAGAAGTGACAAAAAACAATGAAACAACCTTATTCAATATCTAGCATACAGATTTAAGACTGAAAAGTATTTGAATTTAGCACCTCCGATTCTAAACAAGGAAAATGAAGAAATGTTAGCACACTGACTCCTTTGGGCGCCCTTGGGGGTAGAGCTTGCTCAAAAGTTTCAAAGTATCAAACTGTCAACTCAGGGATATAATTCCAATCAAGTTATCAACATGTAATATTCAAAGTATCATTTGCCATAATAAATTCCAGGGGGAAACATGAGACCCCAGGGTCATGAAATTCACAATTTTGGTTAAGCACCTTAAGACCCTTCCATCTATGAAGAGTATTTGATTCTACCATATCTGGGTCTTGAGGAGAAGATTTTTGAAATTTCAGTCAATTCAACCCTTTTTGGCCCCACCCATCCCTGGGTGTCGGTCAGGACTAATATGTGCATACTATCAAACTGCTATCCAATACTGATACTGCTAACCCAAATTGATGAATTACTTCCAATGGAAATTAATCAAATGTTGGTCCAAAATATGATTTCCCTTTATAAACTAAAATAAAGTTGGCCATGGAAGGTTTCTGCCCAATTTCATTGAAATTGGTTCTGGGGTTTTGGAGAAGTCGAAAATGTAAATTGTTTATGGACGGAAGACTAACGACGGACTAAAGGCGATCGCAATTGGTCACTGGCGACTTTGTCTCAGGTGACCTAATAAAACAGGTTTATAACAAACCCTAGAGGTCCTAAGATACAAGTTATCTATACAGTAAAACAGGTTTATAACAAACCCCAGGGGACCAAAGATATTAGTTCTCTATACAGTAAAACAGGTTTATACCCAACTTCAGGCGACATGTAAGACATTTTTAAGGTCTAAACAAAGCTTGAAAATTAACATCAGGATCCTAATAAAGCTTGCACAAGATTGTTAGCTCTGCAATGTCAAATCGTTTCACTTGATTCAATCTCCAACTGATGTGAAGGTCAATATAAATTGGAAGCCAGTCTGATAAGGAAGTTGCAATTCTAATATTGTGATCAAAAGATTTTGTTTTGGAGAGAAATGTTTAAATATTCCCTGAAGCTAGTTACTCGAGCTATGCATTTTGTGCACATTTATCCGGTGTGGTAGATAATTGTTTGATGCAGTGGCTTTTAGACATACCCATACCTATCTCTGCCAATCTAGCTTCGATAACAGAAATTACACCTGGCTGGGGACCTGATATAGATAATCATTTTATGTATTTCAGATTCTATCATGATATGTATATTTGATCTATTATATACCGTAAATATTCGCCTACAGTACACACTTTTTAGGGAAAAAGTGACAATATCAAGAAAGGGGTGCACCCTTAACAAGGAAAAATTCCAAAACCAGTCCTGAGTCACGACCATTTATCATAATGTTTTCACAGATTTTTGGAATTATTAATGATACCACCCAAAAGTGTTCCAAAATAGAGATGAAACAAATTGAATAATAAACAGGAAGTAGACAACTACATGATGACAGGAGGTAGGTATCACATCTGTCAAGTTTCGCTGTAATCACCCTAGTAGTTTAGGAAGAGTTGTCAAGACAAACATTTTTCAACAAAAGGCCATTACTCCATAAAAAAGTCAGGATGAAAAACAAGAGGCCCAGTGGGCCTGTATATCTCACATGTTATTAATCTCACACTTGTAACCTTAAAAGTGGACTGAACTAGAGCTGCAGGCAAATACAGGTATCTTAGTTATTCAAAAGAACCCGATAAAAGATTTAAACACATCTGACCCCAGTGACCTTGAGGTTCATTAAGTTGGATCAAACTTTATAGCTCTTAACCTCAGCATGCCAAATGATCAACACCTTAGACTTTTTGTTAATTGAATTGAGGTCCCTATGCATTTTGGTTATTCAGAATAAGTTTTTAAAATGTTTTCAACATATTTGACCCCTTTGACTTTGAATTTGGGTGAAGGTCATCCATTTAACCAACCCTCATATAGCTCTTTATCTGAGCATTTTACTGGCCATTTATCATCATCCTTGGCCTTTCGGTTGTCCAGAAGAATTCATTTAATGTTTTTACCATATTTGACCCCTGTGACCTTGGATATAAGTCAAGATCATTCTGTTCAAGAATCCTTGTAGCTATTTATCCCTGCATGCTACTGGCCAAATTTGATCACCCCGGGTCTGCTGGTTATCAGGAGAGCTTACGTATATGTTTTTTATTAAGACAACTGACCCATCCACATGTTACCAGCCATGTATCATTATCCTGGTCCTTCTGGTTTTTCAGAAAAAGTTTTTAAAAGGCTGTTCTGGTCTAGTTTTGTTAAAATCCCTCCAATCAATTTAAGGAGAAGGATTTTAAAGATTTACCTCAAGTTCCCCTATTTGGCTGTGCCCCTCTATCCCAGTTGGGGCCACACTCTCTAGTTTATACAAAATTAAGTCCCCTTTCTTAAAGGATACTCCAGGCCACATTTAGTCAAAATCCACTGAGCCGTTCAGGACAAGTAGTATTTTATAGGAAAAGTTGATGGATGGACAGACGAATGCCGTGCCACAGCATAAACCCACCGGTCCTTTGGACCAGGTGACCTAAACAAGGTATATTTGAACAAAAATATTAAATGAAGTAAAGTAGCCTGAAGTTTTGTTTCTGCAAGCTTAATGTAGAACTTGTTATAAATTTCCATTAATTTGATCTGTTTCAACAATCTGAGACGAGTGAGTTATGTCCTGTTTATACCCATTATACTGCCGTTATCTCTTGAACCTGTTTCAAGGTAAAGGCATACAGGCTAACGACTTTACCTAAAGATGCTTAGGGTTAATCACTTTGCTTCAACAAATAGGGTTCATGACTTTACCTGACGATACATATGGTTCGTTGGTTTATCTAAAGACATACAGGACCGTATTATTATCTTAACAAGTACCGTTTATGCCATTGTTTGAAATTTTATGAATGGCTTGAATTTCAGTATTTTGGAAAATATACCAGATAAAAGATTGACCTTACTCCCGAAGCTGATCTTGCTATAAGGTATGGGGCTCTGACTATTTGTCATTACCTACAGCAGTCTGCCAAGGTCTGCTCACCTTTGACTGGCTGTTTACGAGGACACCTACCCTGCCTGCCACCCCCCCCTAATTAGGTCGTGTACCTGTACGCTACACTTGTTAATTACCTACACCGATTACAGGTATAACGGGGTGCTCGGCACAGGTAGTCCGACAGCTCTAATACACACTGTACCAGTGAACTGGGCTGCACTTCCGGCTCTATGACATTTATTAACTATCTCATATCTGCATTAAATCTCAATGCAATGATCAAAGCGGACTGGTGACAAACGTTGATTCGGAGGTGTCTCTACATGATAAAAGGCGAACTTTCAAAGGAGACATTATGTTTTATTTGCAAGAGTACTGTGTATTGTAGGTGATACATCGTCATCCCTGGCTGAGCATGTTGGCGCGGCGGGGTGAGGGTCGGAGGATATATACAGGCTTTGACTAGCTACAATACCTCAGTCCGAACTGACAAGTCCAGTGTTACATGAACAAACAACATCAACTGTTTCAAAGTGGCTACTGAACCAAATAATCAGCTGAAATCTAAATGTCCATTATTAATTTTATTTTAATGACTTGTGCCTTGGTTTAGAGAGAAAGTCTTGTCTGCCTCAGGCGGTCCTGATAGCTATCACATCAGGCTCTCTCTTCCGCTCAACATACACACAATCAAAATTTAGTAGATTGAAAAATGATATAGAGGATATTATCTAGCAACATTTTTATTTGATGACTCTGTAGCAAGTTTAATCTTGCTGTGTGTGTCGAGGCCAGCAAGGTGGCATCTTAATGTTTCTACAGACGGTAAGTTTACATCAACAATAGACAGATATACTCCCTGACATTTTACTCAGATCGAGTAGGGCCGTCAGCGCATTTTAACAATAACTGGGAACAGACCCAAATCTTACTACTTCCTCTAAACCCCTAAAGTCAGACTCACCTATCTCTGTCCCTCTAAACCCCTAAAGTCAGACTCACCTATCTCTGTCCCTCTAAACCCCTAAAGTCAGACCCACCTATCTCTGTCCCTCTAAACCCCTAAAGTCAGACCCCCCTATCTCTGTCCCTCTAAACCCCTAAAGTCAGACCCACCTATCTCTGTCCCTCTAAACCCCTAAAGTCAGACCCCCCTATCTCTGTCCCTCTAAACCCCTAAAGTCAGACCCACCTATCTCTGTCCCTCTAAACCCCTAAAGTCAGACCCCCCTATCTCTGTCCCTCTAAACCCCTAAAGTCAGACCCACCTATCTCTGTCCCTCTAAACCCCTAAAGTCAGACCCACCTATC